ATGACAACGTTTTTTTGGAAAGTAATACCATGAAACATGGTTTTCTAATCATGATTCAAAGGCAGGCTAGGAGAGAGAATGAGAATCAAAGAGTAGCAGGTTAGCAGGTATTCTTTATTCCGAAAATAGATGCAACTAAAAGACAAGCTAGCAGCTATTCTTTGCAGTGTTGCAGTCACGAGGCTGAATTAAAAACCACACATCAATTTTCAAACACTAGATACGATGAAACATAGTTTCATGATCCGCGGGGAAGGCAGGCTTGCAGAGATCCTCCAGGAAATTGCAAACGGATTCAAGCAGAGAAGGGAGCTAACAGAGACTATTTTTGGAAGTATTCGAGGTAAGCTAGTAGGGCATCTTTGAGAAAAGAAAAACAGAAATTTCGTAGTGCTAAGGCAGGCAGAGATTCTTTGGGAAATTGAGCAGCAAATTTAAAACGAGGTTGGAATATTTCCATGTTGGAGTTTTGCAAAACGCTAAATGCCACTAGAAACGAGACATTTGAGGGGGGTTTGAGAATTTTTTGTCAGGAATTTTGCGTCGACTAGCAATCTCGATCTTTTGTGGATCATAGAATATAGTAAAACATGATTTTGGAAAACCGAGAGCGCTTGAATTCAGAGATAACCAGCAGAGAAACTTTGGGAAGCGATCAGGCTAGCGGAAATGAGCCTGAATTTACAATCAGCAAAAATGGTTTCATCACAGCTCGCATTAAAGACCTGTAGTTATTTTTGAAACAATTCTTTCTGTGAAACATATAGCTTTGCCCGAAAAAAGAAAAGGCTTGCACTGCTTTAGAAAAATTGCAAAGGTATTATAGTAACCGAAAAGCCCCAAATCATTGTGGAATCGTCTGGAATTTGTAGTGCAAAATCCCTGCCGCGGGGGGAGTTGCAGAATTTTTCTCGAACAAAGCTTGCGACGATTATTTGCTAAAAATTTTGCAAACTCACCAAATGAGTTGAAACATAAATTTTACAGTTGAAATTTTTCAGAATCGGGCAGACTAGCAGAGGCCATTTGGGAACCATTACTTCTTTTGGAAAGAAGCAGCGAATATGAAATGCGGTCCCAAAAGAGAGGGCCGGCTAGCAGAGGGCCTTTGTGGAATTTTTAGCACATTTTTATGGATCCTCGCACGTCGCTGCATTGTCAGCCAAGCCTCACCAAGAAACGCCCGCTATTTTTAAACACATTTTTAGTTGTTGCTCCTGCGCACGAGTTATTTGAAATCGAGCAGGGAGCAGAGATCTTTTGGGAAATTGATGGTATTGAAGAGAGCAAAATTTTTCAGACAGAGTGAATTTTAGAGTTTAATTCTGCAAAAATTGTAAAAAATCATAAGCAAAAATTGGAGGTCGGGAATGGGAATTTATTATTGTGTTGGTGTCCAGGCCATAGCACCTAAGGCTCGAAGCACTTTTTTTGAAATTCAGAGAAGGTAAACAGGAAAGGGAAGGCTAGCAGAGATTCTTTGTGGAAATGGACGGACGCAAGAGGGGGGCAGGCTAGCAGAGATCGTTTGAGAAAACAGTAATTATGAAAAACGGCTTCACCAGTAGAAGGGGGGATTCCAGGGAACGTGCATCTGCTGGGGATGGTGGGTAAATAGTGGATCTTTCTCTCTCCTGGGGGGTGAGGGAGGCGGATTTGAGATTCGAAGAGAGAGAGAGAGAGAGAGAGCGAGAGAGAGAGAGCGAGAGAGAGAGGGGAGAGAGAGAGAGAGACCGAATACACAACCAAAAGACCCCCAACGCTACCCTCTTTCATCCACCCCAGATCCACAAGGGAGTACGCGCGCGCCGGCAACTGTACACCATTTCCTTAGGGGTATTTGCTAGCCTACCTTAATTTTCTGGGCAAAATAGCGTTCCGCAAGGGTCTCTGCTAGCCTGCCCTGCTAATTTTAGACGAAAGTAGCATTCCGTAAACGTCTCTGCTGGCTCGCCCAATGCATTAATAGTTCTATCCGCCACAAGGATCGTTGCTAGCCTGCCCCTCGAATTACGACCGGAATTAGGGTACCGCAATGGTCGCTGCTAGCTGCTATCTCCGCCTCTCGAACTGACAAATTTAAAAGTTGCGTTTTCCTTCTAATTCCTAAGGGATTTCTGCCAGTTTCCGTTTACTTTGGCTCTCCCGATTCCCCAAGAATTTTTGCTAGCATGTCCAAATTTCAACAAGCTAAATTTTCTGGAAAAAGCCAGATTGTTGCTAGTAATCTCGATGTATCAGCAATATTTGGCAAAAAATGTGTTTCAAGAAAATGCAACCCGGAATAATAGAGAAATCCATTAATTCTCCCAGCGCAATGAAGTGCTTAAAAAATGCACAAAAAGGCGGGCCGCAAGATTTGGGTCCACCCTGAACCTAAGCAGACTTCACTTTGTTAACAATTCCGCAATGGTGCCTGCTAGATTGCCCCTACTTTGCCCCTTTCCCCTCGCTTTCCCAAAGAGTCTCTGCTAGCCTGCCTCTCGAACTTTTTGATTTCAAAAGTAGCGTGCCAGAATAGTTTCCTCTAGTAAGCCCAAACTTCATAAAAAATCGTTGCAATATAACAGCTCGAATTTTCGATTCCTAATGGTCACTGCCCGTTCGAAAAATGCCTAGAAATCCGGATTTCGGCCGGATTTCGGATGTATTAATCGGGTTTTGGCAAAACTGTTTCCAGGAACTGTGGAGCGCGGTAATAAAGAAATGCATTAATTCGTTGCAGAAGAAGAATTCACGTCCCATTCATTAGAATTATTCGGCCGGTGATACTCTGTATTTTCAGTTGATCTATTGAAACTCAGGTTTTGTAAATTCTGGAAGGATCCCTGTAAGTCATTCGAAATTCGGCCATAGCTGTGGAAAAAATGTTCCAAGCAAAAAAGGAGATGCAGTAATACCCAGGTGCACTAATTGTCTGCAGTTATTGCATTTATTCAAAAAAGAGATTTTGGTGATGCGCGGCAAAGAATCTCTGCTAGCCTGCCCCCCTTCCCCCTCTCTCTCATCACAAATGATCTCTGCCAGCCTGCCTCCTCCCCTCTCTCATCCCAAACGATCCCTGCTAGCCTGCCCCCTCCCCCTCTCTCTCATCACAAATGATCTCTGCCAGCCTGCCTCCTCCCCTCTCTCATCCCAAACGATCTCTGCTAGCCTGCCTCCTCCCCCTCTCTCTCATCCCAAATGATCTCTGCTAGCCTGCCCCTATCCTTAATGATCTCTGCCGGCTTGTCCCCCGCCCTTAACTATGCGTTCCCGATATTTACTGCCCCCTCCTCAGATTTACTATTTGCCGGGGCCTAGAGCCTGGTCGCGTTGTCTTTGCGCGCTTGCGAGGGGGGTGAGGCGCGCGTTAGAGGGGCGTGCGCCCGTGGTAGAGATCTAGAGAAGGGGGGATCTCTCAAGAAGAGGGGGCCACGCATACAAATTGTCAGCAGTGGGGGAGGTCGCGCTGGGCCCCTAATGCTTAGGGCCCAGGGCCACGTAAAAAAGTGGCCAAGAGATAAGTGAGGTTGGCTGCTGCCGCCTGGTCCCGCGCGCACCACAAGTTTGACCCCCTACGACAAAAAAATGAGAGAAACTGACACTTGACTCGGCTGTGAACATGAACGGAAAAAGCGGGAGGAGGAGGAGGAACAGGGCTTGAGAGCAGCCTAGACATTGCCGCCACGCGGGCGCCGTGGTGTGAACGGTCTGGCAGAGATCATTGGGGAGGGCTAGCAGAGATTCTTTGGGAAATCTAGGCCTCGAGAGCATGGCAGGCTAGCAGAGATTGTTTGAGGAAATGGACGGACCCCGAGAGGAGGGCAGGCTAGCAGAGATTGTTTGAGGAAATGGACGGACCCCGAGAGGAGGGCAGGCTAGCAGAGATTCCTTGAGGAAATGGACGGACCCCGAGAGGAGGGCAGGCTAGCAGAGATTGTTTGAGGAAATGGACGGACCCCGAGAGGAGGGCAGGCTAGCAGAGATTGTTTGAGGAAATGGACGGACCCCGAGAGGTGGGCAGGCTAGCAGAGATTGTTTGAGGAAATGGACGGACCCCGGGAGGAGGGCAGGCTAGCAGAGATTGTTTGAGGAAATGGACGGACCCCGAGAGGAGGGCAGGCTAGCAGAGATTGTTTGAGGAAATGGACGGACCCCGAGAGAAGGGCAGGCTAGCAGAGATTGTTTGAGGAAATGGACGGACCCCGGGAGGAGGGCAGGCTAGCAGAGATTGTTTGAGGAAATGGACGGACCCCGAGAGGTGGGCAGCCTAGCAGCAATTTTTAAAATTTTTAGAATATAACAACGAACCGCAAATTGCTTAACCCAAACCTCATTTCCGGTCTTATTTTGATGGAACCTCGGAATAAATTCGAAGGGTTGCTACTGTAAATGACCAGCTAAAGGCTAACCTTTGAGTTTTTTAATTTATGCTTATACTAATAGTATTTTATAGTCATCATTTTTACCAATCACGGTATTAATCGTGGCGTACAGCCGCTAAACAAGGCGCGGATTGGAAACATGGTATTTTTAAACGTAAGAAAATGAATATTCGAAGTGAAAAATCGAGAATCATGCTGAACTTGATTTATTTTATTTGGAATTTAAAAGCCGTGTTTTTGGCAAAATTAAGAGACACCGACCGAGAGGAGGGAAGGCTGGTAGAGAAAAAAAAGATTTTTTGAGGAAATATTGGCAGGAATCCGTCCGGAGGAATACATAAATTGCTCAAACGTAGGCTATCCCCTAGTCCTATTTCTATGAAACATGGGAAACGAATTTCGATGCATACCACTTTGTTGAAAAATTCATATAGGAAAAAATCGAGGAGAAGAATGTAAGAGATGAAGAAATTAGGATTAAGAATTTCAGAAATTTTACTTTAGGAATTTAAGATACACGAACGACCGCGAATTGAATGCTGATCCAAGTTGCCGAAATACCTCACAGCCGAAACATAAATTTTCAGGACAAGCATGTTTCAATGCAATGAATAGTTCCAGAATTTTACCGACCTTCAGTTATCGTCGTTTTGCTAAGTGTCTGCTCGTCTTCTTCCAAGTCCTCTTGCTTCTCATCCTCGTACTCCTTCAACTCGTCGTCGTATCCCTCTTCTTCGTAGTCCTCCGGCTCCTCCAGCGTGTCCACGTCGACCACCTTGCTAGGCGCTCCTGGAAAATTCTTTAAAATTATCGAATTAAATTTTTTATTAAGTCAGTTAGTTTTTTAAAGGTATGTAAAGGATCATTGAGCTGCTGTAATTGCATAAAATCAGTAAAATAAATTCTTTTTAGACGTTGAAAATTCTTTAACTTTGAATTAATTTTTTCTAGTAATTGATTAAGCCATGATTATTGAGAAGTAATTGAACGGTATATTCAATACTGAAAATACAATTTACTAAATTCAGTTTTGACTTTTAGTAATTTTATTACGTTCGTAAGGTATAAAAATACCGCTTTACATCTATGACTATGCTGAGAAAAATGCGAAATATTGTGGCGATAAAAAATTTAAAAATAAGCCGATTCGGTGCTATTTTTACGTATTTATAAATTCAGAAATTCAAACTATAAGCCGTCATCATATTAAAATAAACTACTCAACCAGAGCGATTAAAATATCTGAAACACATACCTTCTCCGCAAGAATTGACCGCCAAAACGCGGAACCCGTAGAATTCCTTCGGCAACAGGTCCCTGGCTGTATATTTCGTGGACCCGTCGTCGATGGTGGCCACCTGGAAAGGTATCGATTTATTAAATCGATTATATTTTTTAATTGACTAAAGTCAAACTTCGGGCTTTTAGGTACCTTTTGGATTTTTACAGTAAAATTATATGTTGCTAGACGAAAAGGCTGGAAATCAGCGGGCAAGTCTGTAGTATAGGTTAGATCCGCCCTGATTTTCATCAAATGCATATTTTTCCCCTGGCTTAAAGGGCCGGTAAGCCGCAAAAATCGACCCTGCCGTCGACTAGGTCTAGGCAATTAAGCGAAATGGTAAATTCCGCGTTGAATATCCGTTATTATCGCGCACCGCGCCTTGTGTTTTTGACCTCCAGTGGCTTTTCAAAAAATATGTTCCGAACTTTCACAAATCCACGGTTCAAGATGGACTACTTAATCTCGCTTTTTTCGGTAGTTTCTTTCCGTGATACCCTCGAACTCCAGCTTATGTCCTCGTCATAAACCACTATTAAACATGTATCAATTACCTATATAAAACCCAATTTTACATTAGCTTAGGCTGAAAAGAACGTTCATGCGAGAAAATCGACCCTAGCCCCTGACTGGCTCTCGACAAATATCTGAACCAGGGGCGTAGCCAGAAAAAAATTTCGGGGGGGGCCCCGAAAAAATTTTTCCAAAAAACTCAAAACATTGACGAAAAAACAGCGCCGCAGGCAAAAATTTTTGAAAAAAGGTTACATAGCTCTACAAATAGCCGTAAAAACGTGAAAAAAATAGCGCCGCAGGCAGCAAAATTTTTGAGAAAATAAAAATTTTCGGCCCCCGGCCGATTTCGGAGGCCGGGCCCCCGGGGCCGGTATTACGCTACGTCCCTGATCTGAACGCTCAATCGGCATTAAATGCTTATTTTTTAATAGATGGATAGGTGATTTTTGCTTCTTAACCTCCCATTATTTTGTAACTAAAGCATAGAGGTTGCTTTAGTAATTTCTGACGCCTGTAAAATCCGAAAAAACCTTGAAAAACGTGTTCCGGCTTTTTGTAACCCATTTTTGCTTATCGTCCTCATACTATACTTTCATTTAAGCCTTGAATCCTGGTGATTTCGGGTCCCTTTAAATAGCCGAAACGCTTTTGAATAGAATGTTTTGAATTTTGGCTACCCCTTATTTGAGGAGCCACCTCATAATGGGAGGTTTTTAGTCATTGGCTACCGAAACCATACTTCGTAAAAAAAATGCGTTGCCCTTAAACAAATAATAAATTAATCCCTAAACCGATCATCTTTATTCAGGATATTTACAATTCCTTTGATAATTATTATAAACGAAATTCAACATTGACTCGATCTCACAACTACCCGATTTTCGCCCCTTCCGGTTCCTTTAAAATATACATGGGTCGACGCTTGCATGCGCCGCATAAGCGTGGCTGGCCACGCTCTTCCGGAGCGTGGAGAACCACGCTTATGCGGCGCTTTATGCGTGATTTTTCACGCTCGCACTTTAACTCGAGATGCAAATCAAAAATTGAAAGGCCATATATCTATGATTTCGATTTGCTAAAATGGATTACCGATACATAACTATCAAGTGCCTTTTTAATTTTTCATAAATAAACCTTATAGTAGAGGCTTAACTTGTTGATACTTAACTTCTTGAAAACTTATCGATTTTTACGTATCCATGCCCTTGGAAAATGTTGATTTTGCATATTTTTAAACTCTGCATAAGTGTTTCCGGAGCGTGGCCAGCCACGCTCATTTTGGCGTGGTTTGTTAAGAGCCACGCGCGCCAGCGTGGCACTCCACGCTCCGGAAGAGCGTGGCCAGCCACGCTAATGCGGCGCATGCAAGCGTCGACCCATGTATACTTTAAAATCCCGGAACATGCCGAAAAAAAAATATGTTTTCGACTTTTTCAAAACCGATTCACGGAGCCAAAAATTTAATCTGGCCCCGAAATGACGCGCAAAAAAAAAGGATTTACCTGGCGCCATCTGGAGAAGTCGACCGTCTTCCGCTCGACAATATACGCCGTAATCGGGGCGCCGTTGTCCTCGTCGGGTTGCTGCCAAGATAGTACGGCAGAGTTGTGCGTCACCTAAATGGGACCGTTGAAGGCCGGACAGTGCGTAGACAGTTGTTTGCTAAGTTTAATTTTTTTTTTGGCGTAAGATGTTTCGCTAATAATATGTCAGTGGTCCAAAAATATTCCATTCAATATAGTATTGTTGCATTCTCCAATAAAGAAAATTGCAACTATCTAAGCCTAAAAAATGTAAAAAATCCATAAAAATAACAGAATAAGATATAAAGGTTCAAAAACGTCAAATACTTAAAACCTATATGCTAAATTTTATTACCAAACGGATGTCGGAGGAAAGCTAAAATTCAGTCGCTTTTTTCATAAATTCTAAAAGCTCAGAAGAAAGCTCCTAGCTGAAATAAGAAATACTGCCACGGATTTGTAAATTTTAAATGTTTCAAGTCTGTCCGATGCAGAAAAATAACCGTCGATTTGAATTTTAACGTAAGGACAACGAATTAAAACATTAAAATTTATTTTCCTACGACTCACGATATAACGATCATTTTGAAGGAAATCTATGAGGAAATTCTTTTTCCGGAAGCTGACGCCAGAGCAAGATTAGATGAAACATTTTTTTTGAAAACCAAAGAAAAAAGATAAATCGGATTACGCTGCCCGATTGAGGTTCTCGTGAGAAAAAATGTTGCAAGGTATTTTGTAGCTAAAAAGATCGGTAAGATAATAATATGGACACACTGGATCAAAAGATGAATGGCCTTCAAAAAAGTTTTGAAATGCTTGGACAAAGGTGATTTTTGCAATAACAAACGTGTCGCAGAGATTTTGGTAGCAAAAATCGTCACTAGCCTGATAATATTGATCTAAACGTTATCTGCAATTGAGTTTTTCGAACGAAACCGTCTACGCCCGCGCTTTAAAAACCGAAGCCAGATTTTACCATTTACAAGGGAAGGTTGTTTGGGTCAGGTGTCAAATCTTTCTGAAAATTGGCCATTGGATAGAAAATTGAAAACGGAACAAGGTGCGCTAAGTCGTTTTCTGCACAATACCCCTAATTAAAAAGTTATAAGCATTTTAGGTTTGTGGTCTAAAAAAATGAGTTCTGCGCAGGCTTCTTCACCAATACCGCACCGTTTCCACAATTTCTTCATGCGTGATTTCTTGACCCTCTCTCGTCTCCACTCCCCACGTCGCTTCTAGCGCAATCGGTAGTGCGCTTGACTCACAATCTTTTGAAAAAATTTTGGCAAAATTTCGAGACTAAAACTTTTATATCTTTTTGTTTTTTTGCTTTTTGCTCTTGCAAATTATGGTTAGTTGGCGTAAAATCCAAAAAGCAAAAAGTTGGACGCATCAAAGACTTGAACTCGATTACAAAAATTTAAAAAGTTTTGCACTCTACGGCACTACCTACTGCGCCAAACAGCTTGCCAGTCCGGGCGACGCAAGAGCTTGAAAAGAGGGCTGGCCACAATGAGGACCAGATCAGAATTGTCGGGTCGTTTCGTGCTTTTTTTATGTTGCTTCAAAGACCTATAACTTTTTAATTTGTGGTATTGTGCAAAAATGAGATTAGGAAACTCCACTTCATTTTTGATTTTCTATCCCCTGGCAAAGTTTCAAGTCGATTTGACACCTGACCCAAACAACCTTCCCTTGTTAGAGAAGCTAGAAAATTCAAATTCGGATGGGCGGACATCAAACTATTTTCAAAAACCAATAGGGAAAGATGCGACCGCAACGCGACCGCGCCGCATGAGCCCTTGCCCCTGTTTGGACGTCAAAACGCTTTAACTTAAAAATTCTGACGCTCCTTCTGGATTCCTCATCGAATTTTGGTTATTCTAAACTTTTTAATTAGGAAAATTGATCAGGGAATCGCCGAAATCGAGAGACTGGGTGCCTTACAAGGCATTACGACAGGGTTTTTGTCCAGTGCGTTCAATCCCGAATGCGCGAATTTTGACTTCCGAGCCCCTTTAAAGTCCCCTTTTTGCTCCTTTAGTTTTGCCAGTTTCATCAAACCAGTCGCGCATTCCCCCAACCAAAAGTCACGCTTCCCTGAAAATGTACGAAACATTTTTTCGTAAATGACCGAGTTTTGCAAAGCTTTCGTCCCGCGTCGAAAAACCGGTTGTTTCGAAAAAGTGTTTCAAGATTTTTGGTAGGGAAAACTGTTGCTCGGCCACTAATCGACGTTCGTTGGACATCTCAGAAAAATTCGCACCTTCTGGCAGACGAGCTTCTGCGGCGCACCAGGAACATCTACCACGATCAGCTTGACCGTCGCCGTGGCAGTTCCGTATATGTTTGTGGCGTCGATTTCGATGGTTCCACCGTCCTTCTGGGCGACGTTACGCAGACGTACAGTCACCGCATCCTCGTACTGGTCAACCTGGCCCTTCATCTAAACGTATATATAGGATTTGAATGCACGTTTTCGTGAAGATTAATGACGTAAAAATTTGGTAGAGCGACCCCACCTTGAAGGGAAGTCGATTCAGAATGACGTCAACCTCTGGCTTGGGGTATCCATTGAACTCGAAGGAGAAGCTCAACGTCTGGCCCTGCGTGAGTTTGATCTCGGACTTGGTGTCGAGCAGATCGATCTTCGGCGCTGCCCGGATGTCCACCCGGCAGCTCATGCTGTCCAGCTTGTCGTCGAGGGTCACGTGGTAGTCGCCAATGTCCTGAAGTTTTTGAATGTAGCCGTTAAATATTCAATTGATCCTGCTGATCCTTCCTGGGGAAGAAGATGTACCTTCTCACAACGAATTTTTTACTATTTCTATCATTCTTAAAATTCATATGCAACGATCAGCTCAGTACAAGTTACTGTACTCGTTGCGCAATTCTACACCCAATCGAACCTCGAAACATTGAATTTACTCGTGTGATCGGCGCAAAAAGATAAGTACTACGTGGGAGAAACCTAACTATGAGTCAGGTTCAAACTTACGGGTAGCTACGCTTCAAAGAAGCCGTACTCCTTAATTCTAAACCTTGACCGTGCTAGTGAATCGGCCACCATTGAAATGACAACGAGAGAAGTATCTAATATTGTACTGGTTGCGTAATTCTGCACCCAACCCATTCCCGAAACATTGAATTTACACCTGCAAGGAATGCCAAAAAGTATTGCTACTACCCGCGACCCAGGTCCAACCCTGTGCCGTAAAGCGTAACTATGATTCGGTGCCAGTCAATATGCAACCATTAAGCATTACGCCAGGCTTACCTGTGGCGCTGCGCGCAGGATCCGCAACGTCGTCCTGTTGCCCTCCGTCACGATCTCGTACCGGTTCCGCATCTCGAACATCTCGACAGCACCCTTGTACCACCGGACACTTCCTGGGGCGCCAGTGAAGGCACAGGTGAGCTGGATAAGCTCGCCTAGAGCGGTTGCCGAGACGTCTGACGGGTGCTCGGAGAAACCGATGGCTGAAAAGGGTGCTCAATGATGTTTAAGGATTCAAGGCGTCCGTAAATTATAGGTTTTGTCGCAAAACAATGGCTGCTACGGCTTACTTTAGCTGAGCTCCCCACTCCACTAGCCCGTTTTCCTATGAGTACGCCGCAACACTAATGCCGACGGCAATGCGTGCGCTCTAGGACCGCCCATCCGCAAAGACAGCCCCACTTCCCCAGTCTTCGGATTTTTGGTATTTCCCTGCGTTATTGACCGGACGCACCTTTCGCTTGCCCCTAGCATCTTGTTTTACGATTTCGAACCTGTTTTTTTGCATAAGTTAAGCTTCCGATACCTACGCCAAAGATATGGTACCTCAATAACCGTAACCAGTACACCAACGTCTCCCCCTTTTTACGTAATTAACTCACGTTCCACACGCTCTTCCTCCTTCTCCTCCGGCTCCTCCAACCCTTCAGCAAACGACACACGCTTCTTCTTCCTGCGCGCAGCTGCCAACTCGGCCTCCTCATCAACCTCACCGGCCACAGCAGCCTCCTCCAAGGTCACCTCTGTTAGCTCGGCTTCCTCAGATCGGCGCTCCTCCTTCTTCTCAAGGTCTGCCTCGAACGCAACGGTCTTTGTTGGTTCTGAACCGTCCAAGGACTTCTTCTTCTTTTTCTTCGGCTTCTCTTGCTCTTCCTCCGCCTTGACGACATCAGCAACCTCAGCACCCTCCTCATCGGTAGTTTCCTTTGGTGTCTCCACTTCTTCAGCTGCCTTCTTGGTGCTCTTCTTCTTTTTCTTGGGCTTCTCCTCGTCCGCTTCTTTCTCGGCTCCTTCAGTCTTCGATTTCTTGCGCAGTTTGGCGGACCCCTCGAGGTCCTCACCGGCTTGCTCGCCGGATTAGGCACCCTTGAGGTCTTGCGCCGCTTTCTTTTCCTCGTCGGCCCTTGCCTTGGCTTCGGCTTCTAGCTTGGCTTTGTCCTCAGCCTCCTTCTTGGCCTTCTCCTCGGCCTCCTCCTTGGCCTTCTCCTCCTTCTTGGACGTCTTGGAGTCAGCCTCCTTCTTCTTGGCCTCTTCAGCATCAGCCTTTGCCTTGGCTTCGGCTTCTTGCTTGGCCTTGGCTTCGGCTTCTAGCTTGGCTTTGTCCTCAGCCTCCTTCTTGGCCTTCTCATCAGCCTCCTTCTTGGCCTTCTCCTCCTTCTTGGCCGTCTTGGAGTCGGCCTCCTTCTTCTTGGCCTCTTCAGCATCAGCCTTTGCCTTGGCTTCGGCTTCTTGCTTGGCCTTGGCTTCGGCTCCTAGCTTGGCTTTGTCTTCAGCCTCCTTCTTGGCCTTCTCCTCGGCCTCCTTCTTGGCCTTCTCCTCCTTCTTGGCCGTCTTGGAGTCGGCCTCCTTCTTCTTGGCATCTTCAGCATCAGCCTTTTCCTTGGCTTCGGCTTCTAGCTTGGCTTTGTCCTCAGCCTCCTTCTTGGCCTTCTCCTCGGCCTCCTTCTTGGCCTTCTCCTCCTTCTTGGCCGTCTTGGAGTCGGCCTCCTTCTTCTTGGCATCTTCAGCATCAGCCTTTTCCTTGGCTTCGGCTTCTAGCTTGGCTTTGTCCTCAGCCTCCTTCTTGGCCTTCTCCTCGGCCTCCTTCTTGGCCTTCTCCTCCTTCTTGGCCGTCTTGGAGTCGGCCTCCTTCTTCTTAGCCTCTTCAGCATCAGCCTTTGCCTTGGCTTCGGCTTCTTGCTTGGCCTTGGCTTCGGTTTCTAGCTTGGCTTTGTCCTCAGCCTCCTTCTTGGCCTTCTCATCAGCCTCCTTCTTGGCCTTCTCCTCCTTCTTGGCCGTCTTGGAGTCGGCCTCCTTCTTCTTGGCCTCTTCAGCATCAGCCTTTGCCTTGGCTTCGGCTTCTTGCTTGGCCTTGGCTTCGGCTTCTAGCTTGGCTTTGTCCTCAGCCTCCTTCTTGGCCTTCTCCTCGGCCTCCTTCTTGGCCTTCTCCTCCTTCTTGGCCGTCTTGGAGTCGGCCTCCTTCTTCTTGGCCTCTTCAGCATCAGCCTTTGCCTTGGCTTCGGCTTCTAACTTGGCTTTGTCCTCAGCCTCCTTCTTGGCCTTCTCCTCGGCCTCCTTCTTGGCCTTCTCCTCCTTCTTGGCCGTCTTGGAGTCGGCCTCCTTCTTCTTGGCATCTTCAGCATCAGCCTTTGCCTTGGCTTCGGCTTCTTGCTTGGCCTTGGCTTCGGCTTCTAGCTTGGCTTTGTCCTCAGCCTCCTTCTTGGCCTTCTCCTCGGCCTCCTTCTTGGCCTTCTCCTCCTTCTTGGCCGTCTTGGAGTCGGCCTCCTTCTTCTTGGCCTCTTCAGCATCAGCCTTTGCCTTGGCTTCGGCTTCTAGCTTGGCTTTGTCCTCAGCCTCCTTCTTGGCCTTCTCCTCGGCCTCCTTCTTGGCCTTCTCCTCCTTCTTGGCCGTCTTGGAGTCGGCCTCCTTCTTCTTGGCCTCTTCAGCATCAGCCTTTGCCTTGACTTCGGCTTCTTGCTTGGCTTTGTCCTCAGCCTCCTTCTTGGCCTTCTCCTCCTTCTTGTCCGTCTTGGAGTCGGCCTCTTTCTTCTTGGCCTCTTCAGCTTCAGCCTTTGCCTTGGCTTCGGCGTCTTGCTTGGCCTTGTCTTCGGCTTCTTGCCTGGCCTTGGCCACAGCTTCCTTCTTAGGCTTCTCTTCAGCCTCCTTCGTCGCCTTCTCCTCCTGGACCGACCTGGCCTCGGCTTCGCCCAGCGACTTCGCGGCGGAGTCCTTGCGTTTTGTAACCTTCTTCTTTTTCTTCTGTTCGACCGTTCCGTCGTCTGCGTTTCCAGCTTGCTCGGCTTGGGGCTGGTCTTTGGCTGCCTCGGTCTTCTGCATCTCGGCAGCGTCTATCTTGCTCGCTGGCGTTTCCTCCGGTGCTGTGGTCTTTGGAACTGTTTCCGCTTCATCCGTTGGTTTCTTGGCGGTCTTCTTCTTTTTCTTAGGCTTCTCTTCATCTTCTTCCTCTTCAGCGCCATCAGCTTTGGACTTCTTGCGCAGTTTTGCGGATCCCTCAAGATCCTCGCCGGCTTGTTCGGCAGCTTGGGACCCTTTGAGGTCCTGCGCCTCTGGCTTCTGCGCTTCAGCTTCCTCTGGCTTGGCTTGCGCTTCGACAGGCTTATCGGTCTCTTTCTTGACCTCAGGCTCCCCCTTTACTGCTACATCTTCCTTAACTTCCTCTTTCTGGTCCTCAGCGGGCTTCTTCACCTTTTTCTTGGTCTTTTTGGGCTTAGCCTCCTCAGTTGGTTCACTAACCTCCTCAACCGTCTCAGGCACATCCTTGTCGGCTTCCGTAGGCTCCACCGGGCTGCCCTCGGCCTCAGACTCTTCATCGCTGATCTCCTCCAGAGTAACGATGTTGACCTTGTTGCTGGGAGTTCCCTCTCCCGTACTGTTTTCACCAACAATACGGAACGAATACATCTCATTTGCCAGCAACTCAGTGTTCTGGTACTCGAAGGTCTTCGCTGACAAGGTAGCGATATTTCGCCACCTTGAGATGTCTCCGGCCTTCTTTGCACGATGAAGTTATCGACAAACTCCAGGCTACCCTCTGGTGGTTCCCAGGTCAGCTTGACGCTGCGATCGGTGACATCACTAGCGACCAGGTTCTGCGGGGCCAGCGGCGTATCGATAACTTTCATTCGCAGCTTGACCTCCTGCTTCCCGACGCTGTTCTCCAGCGTGATCGTGATCTGCCCGGAGTTTCGGGTCCTGAGGTTACGGAACCGCAACGACACGTAGTCATCGTACATCGTCGCGTCGTACATCATATCCGCACCTGATTCGTGTTGAATCTTCAGCGTCGGGGCTGGATACGCGGCGAAGTCGATTTGGAAATCAAAAGGTTTGTTCGCCAAGCAGATCACGGTCTTTCCAGAGATATCACTCGTGATCTCCGGAGCGATCGCTGCGGTGAGCTTGGCTTTTTCAGATGCGACACCATCCACCACGCAATGGTACTCGCCCACCAAGCTGCCAGTGAAGCGTTTCAGGATTAGGCTCGACGTGTTCGGGCCGTCCGCCTGCTCCACAAAGTCGGACTTGGGCACGACGAGGTCGTTGCGGTACCAAACGGCCTCTTCGATCGGATGCTTGGCGACGACCGTGAGCTTTCCGACTTGACTGACAACGTCAATGGAAAGGGGTTCCGGGTGTTGCAGGATGACTTGACGAGGTTTTTCTGAAAAAAACATAGTAATTGAATATACCTCTAGGGCGAAGGTGTCAAATTGTCCTAGAAAAGACTTACCACCTTCCTCATCGGCTTGCACGTCCTCAGGAAGTTCGCGGAAGATGGTCTTGCGCGTCTTCGCGGTAACCACGCTCTTCTCACTGACGACTATCTCGGCCTCAGCTCTTTGGGGCATACGCTGCTCGTCAAAGTTCTTCGACAGCTTCGCGTCCCCGTATTTGCGTTGTATCGTTTGTTCGACGGCCTAAAAATAGCCCGTCATTTGTTACTTCGTAAATTGTTGGTCCAATGCTCCGCTGGTTTAAATATAGGCTCAACTGTTCTTTATTGAAAAATTATGGCCTTCAAGCACTTTATCGAGCCAAATCTATGCGAATATTAGCCCGTTTAGCTTCGAAAATACAACAAAATGTTCAGCTAGGTCTAAGCTATCATAGTATCACTTTTATTTTGAGAAAAATCAATGAAATGCGCCTGAAATCGACTTTAGAAGCGCAGCGCGGTATTGGTGGGGGGCTCGGAAGGGGCGGGGCTCGGCCTTTCCCCAACCGCGAAAGGGGGCTGGGCCGCCGCGCTTCCTCCAAAAATGCCTCGATTTCGCCCTTGCAACAAAGTCCTTTCTAACCCCGTTTTTAGCTTTTTTTCTTACGTTTTTCCTTCAAAAGTATATTTATAAGCTCTAGCATTTTCAGCCATCAAAAGCTGATGCGTTTCGTAAGCTTTGAGCCGCCTAACATTGAAACGACTTGCAAACCTTGTATCTTTTTGTAAAACGTTTCTATTAGTGTTTCCTTTTATTTTTGAATAGCAAAAGCTCGTGATGGCTTAATCTTGTAAAATCGCGCATTTTTGGGCGAATCATTGATTAACGAGCTATTTTCATGAAACTTTCCCATCTTTCAGTGGAAATTCGAGAACCCGCTATTCTAGCAAAGGAAGTAACCAATTTTTTAGTTATAGGGTTATTCGGCTTTGGTATGAATTGTTTATGAGCTGATTTTTACAAAAATTCGGTTTATAATACCAGCTAAGCGCGCATTTTCGTTCTGGTGGTGAGGCAAAACCGTACCAGGCAAAAGAAAAGACAAAAGTCGGCCGAAAAAAAGTCGGCAAAAGACGTCGACCTGGTCCACTGCTCGAAGATAACAGTGCTTTCCCGATACAATCTGGGGAGAACCAGCTCTGCGGATTTGGTTCATTACGCAAGTTTGGGGTTGCCCGATCCGAAATCCAAGCCGGCCGACTGGCAACCCGTATTTAACGCCCCTTCACGCCCTTTCGCGCCCTCCTGTATTTCGCGCCCCCTGTAAATAACGCCCCCTGTATTTAACGCCCTCCAAATGACCACGAAAAGGGCGTTATTTACAGGAAAAAGCTCGTTTTGCAGGGCGTTATTTACAGGAGAGCGTTAAATACAGGGGGCGCGAAATACAGGGGGCGTTATTTACAGGAGGGCGCGAAGGGGCGCGAAAGGGCGTTAAATACGGGTTGCCCGCCCGACTTTTCGGGCGACCCGGAATCCGGGCTAGCCACGCCCCTTTTAGTTTGGCCTGGATTCCGTGCGGCCAGGATTTCGAATCGTGCAAAATGCTCACACCGTTGGCCTATTGAAGGGTTGGGAGAACAGAGACCCTAGCAGATTTTACCCTTACACACTATGCTAGAACTGACATTAGTGTGTTTTTGGCAACTGCTACGTCTAATGTTTTTTTCACGAAATTATTTTTTTATATTCGCCTTAATATGCAGTGTTCATTAATTTTTGTGTATTTTCACTGCCTGTTTTCCTTGTTTCCTACCTGCATGGCTTTGGCTGGCGCGATCGCATCAATCTCCTCCTCTTCTTGCGGCGACTCCAGCATCACGTCGACCTCGAGCAGGTTCTCCACTGGTGTCGGCTCGTGTAGGCTGATCTCAGTCTCCTCGAAATCGAAGAAGTTCATGTCGACAACCGCATCGGTTTTTGCCTGCTCTTCTCCGGCGGAAATGTCGAGTTCCACCATGGGGTCGCTCGTTCCCTAAAAGTTTTCATTTTTGGTTCCCCTCGTTTAGGAATCCAAAGGATATCCAAACTCACCGGAACTTGTACGTTGCCTCGACACATTGACCTCTAAGAGCCCCTCAGTCTTCTCTTCCTTCTGCTGATCTTTCCCCTTCTTCTTTCTTCTTCTTCTTCTCAGCTGGCTCCTCGAGAACATCACCTCCTCTCCCAACGGCGATTTGATGTTGAGAACGGGGAAAAGCAGATCCAGGATACTCGCTTTCGGAAGGCAACTCCGGACTCGGTTCCTAGATAACGTTTTTAATTCGTTGCTTCCTATCAAACACCGCTAAAATGCCACCCAAGATCAAAACCACAAGCCCCGCACTTACCGGTCCTCTTCCAAAAACAAATCCAACTCCGATGCGCTCAGTGCGCTGCTTGGTAAAGCTGGCCGTGCAGAAGCATTCAACGAATATTGGTGCCTTGGTTTTCAAACTAGCTGAATCTTTCCCAACGCCACGTAGACATTTCTCCGTTATTTCGTCCCTCGTCTTGCCGGCTAGTTCAGCATTTTACCACAATTGTCAGCTCCTCCTGCTTCACCGACCAACGCCGACGTGTCGTGGACGTGGCTGCATTGTGATCAGCGAAGCCACCTCAACGGTCTCGATGTGAAGGAAAGCATCCACATTCATGGATTGCTCCTTTCTCTGGAAAGTGGCCTCAATTGCACCCGCGAGTCGCTCCCCACCTTCGACGTCCTTCGCCTTCTTGACCTTCTCGTCCTTCTTGGCGGACTTAGAGTCGACCTCCTTCTTCTTGGACTCTTCAGCCTCTGCCTTGGCTTCGGC